TAAACTGGTGTATCAGGTGTTAAATAAAACTGGTGTATCAGATTTTAAATAAAAAATGCTTAATGTTTTTGCCTAATGTGAATTTTACGTCATAAAGTTCTCTTTTTTAAAGACTTTTTTAAATTACCGCAAAACAAGTCAAATTTTAATTAACTCTTTTTTTATTAGGAAATGTTTATTTTCTTTCAATTTTTTATACTAAATAATTAAATTTAATATTACATTTTTAAAAGTGTTTAGTACAAACAAATTTCTTTCTTTTCTTGACATTTGTATAAATTAATTAAAATATGTTAAATTATTTTAAATGATTATATAAGTTACTAATTGCTGCTTTGCAACTAAAAATGATTTTTTATTTTAAAAAAAATTTGAGAGTAACAAACAAAAAAATTGCATTAATTTGTTTACTTTATTTATTAAAAGTTTATTATTTTATTAGCAATTTTGTTGTGAAAGCAAAGATTATTTTTCCAAATACCATTAATTAAAATTATATTGTCATATATATCATTTATTAAAAAATGATTACTAAGCTTTAATTTGTCTTATTAAAAAAAGTTCAACTTACGTTTTGTACAAATTTTTGACGCAGCCTTGGAACACGTTTATTTAAAATTTCATTTTGTGTAGAAAAAAAATATTTATGAAGGAAAACCGAAAAAAGCAAAAATATCATAATATAAAATAAAGATAAAATAAAATATAAATTTTTTTTATTATTAATTTATTTTTTTGTTATTAAATAGAAATTTAAGTAATTTTTTTTTACTACAATCAAAAGTTGTATAAACATTCTTGTGCTCCCAAGATAATAAACAAAAGTTTTTTATTTTATTTCTTTTATGGTTTTTTTTTTTATGGTTTCGTTTAATAACTTTAATAACTATACAAAAAAAAATATTTTTTGTTAACTATAAACAATTTTGTTTTCTGTTACTAAATATTTTGATTAAATAATTTGTTTAATAGGAATTTTTGTTGTTTTTAATTTTATTTGAGTTTTTTTTATTAGCAAATAATGTTTTTATCTGATATAATTGTCATTCAATTTTTTGTAACAAAATGCTGTTTTTTATAAAATTAATTACTTCTTTTATCTTACCATATATAGAATAATTTGAAAGTTAAAAAATGATTAAAAAGCTAAAAAATGTTAAAAAGTCGCTTAATGAAAATTGCTCTGGACGTACAGAAAATTGCTTAATGTGTACGTAAATTGCCTGCAACTTAACGCTATAAAACAAGGCCTAGTGTATCATCAGCTGGTGTAAAACCATCAGAATTTATGTGCTGATTTCAAGAAATAAACATCTTTCAAACATTAAATTTTGAAAGATTTCTTTTGAAGAAAATATTTGTCAAAATTAAAACACATTAAAAAGATTCAAAATGTGAAAATAATAGAAGTTATTAACTATGCAATTGTATATAAAAAATAGTTATAATAAAGTGATTTCTTATATTTTTACATAAAGTTATAATTAAAATGCATTTCTAAAATTTTTACACATTATAAAATTCTTCAATACTTAACTCATATTATCACAGAAATCTACAAGAAAAGTTACTGTAACAACACTTTCACTTTTTTGAACTCAAATATAATATTATGCATATGTATATGTTGCTCAACTTGTTGTGTATATTGTTTAACTTATTGCATTTGTTGCTCAACTTGTTTTGTATGTTGTTCAACTCGTTGTATATGTTGCTCAACTTGTTGTTCAATTTGTTGTATTTGTTGCTCAACTTATTGTATATGTTGTTCAATTTAATGTATATGTTGTTCAACTTGTTGTATATGTTGCTCAACTTGTTGTGTATGTTGTTCAACTTGTTGTATATGTTGCTCAACTTGTTCTATATATTGTTCAACTTGTTCTATATGTTGTTCAACTTGTTCTATATGTTGTTCAACTTGTTGTATATATTGCTCAACTTGTTGTATATGTTGTTCAACTTAATGTATATGTTGTTCAACTTGTTGTATATGTTGTTCAACTTGTTGTATATGGTATTCAACTTGATGGAAGAGGTTTAGAAACAATAGTATTAAAAATATAAAAATATCAAATTACAATAATAATTAAAAAAATAACAAGCTCCTTGCTTCTATTAATGTCAGTGGCTTTTTAAAATATACAACAAAAAAAAATTCATAGAAATTCACTCAACCTTACTAAATATAAAAGTTTTTATTTAATCATTTTCACTGGTTATTACTAATCAAGCTCAAAATTTTTATTTTTATAAGTGTTTTCACCGGTTTCTCAAGCTTTAAATGGTGGCATTTTTATTTATGTAAGCATTTTTATGGGTTAATCAATCTCAAAATAGTGGTGTTTTTATACCAATTTATTAATATTATGTAATATTGAATTAAATAATCATATTAAATTTTTAATGACAATTAAAATAAATAAAAAATTAACAAATCATATTAAATCATGACAATTTTTAATTTCATTTATTTTCAAATACTTGAAATTTATAATAATTTATCATAAATTTTAGATTTCCGTATTATATTTTTAATTTCATTTATTTTCAAATACTTGAAATTTATAATAATTTATCATAAATTTTAGATTTCCGTATTATATTTTTAATTTCATTTATTTTCAAATACTTGAAATTTATAATAATTTATCATAAATTTTAGATTTCCGTATTATATTTTTAATTTCATTTATTTTCAAATACTTGAAATTTATAATAATTTATCATAAATTTTAGATTTCCGTATTATATTTTTAATTTCATTTATTTTCAAATACTTGAAATTTATAATAATTTATCATAAATTTTAGATTTCCGTATTATATTTTTAATTTCATTTATTTTCAAATACTTGAAATTTATAATAATTTATCATAAATTTTAGATTTCCGTATTATATTTTTAATTTCATTTATTTTCAAATACTTGAAATTTATAATAATTTATCATAAATTTTAGATTTCCGTATTATATTTTTAATTTCATTTATTTTCAAATACTTGAAATTTATAATAATTTATCATAAATTTTAGATTTCCGTATTATATTTTTAATTTCATTTATTTTCAAATACTTGAAATTTATAATAATTTATCATAAATTTTAGATTTCCGTATTATATTTTTAATTTCATTTATTTTCAAATACTTGAAATTTATAATAATTTATCATAAATTTTAGATTACCGTATTATATTTTTAATTTCATTTATTTTCAAATACTTGAAATTGATAATAATTTATCATAAATTTTAGATTTCCGTATTATATTTTTAATTTCATTTATTTTCAAATACTTGAAATTTATAATAATTTATCATAAATTTTAGATTTCCGTATTATATTTTTAATTTCATTTATTTTCAAATACTTGAAATTTATAATAATTTATCATAAATTTTAGATTTCCGTATTATATTTTTAATTTCATTTATTTTCAAATACTTGAAATTTATAATAATTTATCATAAATTTTAGATTTCCGTATTATATTTTTAATTTCATTTATTTTCAAATACTTGAAATTTATAATAATTTATCATAAATTTTAGATTTCCGTATTATATTTTTAATTTCATTTATTTTCAAATACTTGAAATTTATAATAATTTATCATAAATTTTAGATTTCCGTATTATATTTTTAATTTCATTTATTTTCAAATACTTGAAATTTATAATAATTTATCATAAATTTTAGATTTCCGTATTATATTTTTAATTTCATTTATTTTCAAATACTTGAAATTTATAATAATTTATCATAAATTTTAGATTTCCGTATTATATTTTTAATTTCATTTATTTTCAAATACTTGAAATTTATAATAATTTATCATAAATTTTAGATTTCCGTATTATATTTTTAATTTCATTTATTTTCAAATACTTGAAATTTATAATAATTTATCATAAATTTTAGATTACCGTATTATATTTTTAATTTCATTTATTTTCAAATACTTGAAATTGATAATAATTTATCATAAATTTTAGATTTCCGTATTATATTTTTAATTTCATTTATTTTCAAATACTTGAAATTTATAATAATTTATCATAAATTTTAGATTTCCGTATTATATTTTTAATTTCATTTATTTTCAAATACTTGAAATTTATAATAATTTATCATAAATTTTAGATTTCCGTATTATATTTTTAATTTCATTTATTTTCAAATACTTGAAATTTATAATAATTTATCATAAATTTTAGATTTCCGTATTATATTTTTAATTTCATTTATTTTCAAATACTTGAAATTTATAATAATTTATCATAAATTTTAGATTTCCGTATTATATTTTTAATTTCATTTATTTTCAAATACTTGAAATTTATAATAATTTATCATAAATTTTAGATTTCCGTATTATATTTTTAATTTCATTTATTTTCAAATACTTGAAATTTATAATAATTTATCATAAATTTTAGATTTCCGTATTATATTTTTAATTTCATTTATTTTCAAATACTTGAAATTTATAATAATTTATCATAAATTTTAGATTTCCGTATTATATTTTTAATTTCATTTATTTTCAAATACTTGAAATTTATAATAATTTATCATAAATTTTAGATTACCGTATTATATTTTTAATTTCATTTATTTTCAAATACTTGAAATTTATGATAATTTATCATAAATTTTAGATTATCGTATTATATTTTAATTATTTATTGTAGAAAAATTTATTTAGTTGATGATGATATTGATAAGTTTTCCACAAACTATTATTGATAATATAAAGTATTATTTTTTCCATAAATCAATTTATTAAATTATTTTTTTCCACAATTCAATATTATTGATATAAGCAAGCTTTTGTAGAAATTGATTTTGATTTAATTGGTTCAATGAAATTTTAAATGAGTTAAAAAAAAAATTAAAAAAAAGTTTTTTTTGATATTATCTATTTATAGTTAATTTAATATTATCTTTGACAATTTTTTACAAATCTTTGTAATTTTGGTTTATGTTAACATATAGATCATCAAATCAAAAATCTTTAAAAGAGAGACGTGATCATGATGAGTTGTTTGGGATACCAAAAAAGATTAATTCTTTTTTTGATGATGTAAGTGTTGATGAAATTAGTTTGTTTTCTGCAAGTTCAAATGAACCATCAAAGAAAGATATTGCTGATAATAAATCAGTTGATGAATTTTTAACTGAAAATTCAAAAGTTTTTGTTAACAATGAGGAATGCAGTAAAACTTATGAAGCTCAGGAGTTTATTGCAAATGAACATTTGGGAAGAAGATCATCTCAGAAGGGACATAATTTTGATATTGATGATAATATTGTTGCTTATGACAATGAAATTAACAGACAGTTCACTGATGTTAAAAAACATAGTATTACTGGTTCTTTACAAGAGGAGATCGAACAAACAGACTTATTAAACTCACAGAAAGAGTTTAAACAAACTGACTTATTAAACTCACAGAAAGAGATTGAACAAACAGATTTATTAAACTCACAGAAAGAGATTGAACAAACTGACTTAATAAACTCACAGGAGAATCCAAAGTATGGTAGTTTGTTTATTTCTGATTCAGAAATTCAAAATACAAATATTGAACATGAATCTCTTCCGTGTGATAACATTGACGATATTATGCAGTATATAGCAAAACACAATCTAGATGAGGAGGAAGTATCTTTAGGTTTTTAAAATTTTTAAAAAAGTTTATCTTGATAGACTTTTTATGTTTTATATTTTTTTGATAAAAAAAAAAAGTTTTATAAATATTTTTGTACTTTAAAGCTTATCGAAATTCAAATATGTTTTTACTGTTGTTGTTATTTTTTTTATGTATTTCTTTTTAATATATTTTTTAGTTATCTTTATTTTTCTTTTAATGCTAAATAATTTATGATCATTTTTTGAAAAATTGAAAAAGTTTGAAACATTTACTATTTCATAGTTGTGGAATGTCAACAAGGTGTTTTTGATTTTTATATTTTTAAGTTTTTCTTAATGTTTAGCAAACAAATCTTGGATGAGAAAGTATCTTTTTATTATTTTATTTTTAACTTATTAAATCTTTAATAAAAAAAGTATATTTTTGTTATTTTATTCTTAAACAATCAATTCTTTGATCAAAGAGTTTCTTTTTGTTATTTTAATTTTAAACAATTCTTTGATGGAGAAAATCTTATTTTATTATTTTAATGTTAACCAATCAAATCATTGACAAGAAAGTGTCTATTTTTATTCTTTTTTATTTATGTAAATAGAAATGTGGAAGTTTTCAAAAATATTTTTATGATAAAATATATTTTGTATTAGAAACATTTTCTTATGATTTCCCCAATTTTACTCAGTGTATATCATATGATAAGAAAAGAGAAGATATCAGATAGATTTTTTTAATGTGTAATGTCAGTACCAGTTGATAGTTTTGCACTTAAGTATGGTTTATCTTGCGTTGCTGCTTCTGTTGCGGAATCAGGTATTTTTCAAAATTTATATTTAATTATAATGGCATAATTGTTTTGAAAAGCTTTTCATACTTAGTTTTAGTATTCAATAGATTCTCATATCTTCATATCATTGTTTATTTTGAACCACAACCTCCTTTAATACTTTAGTGTGTGTCATTGCAATATCACAAGTTTGCTTTATCACAATATTGCAATATATATCACAAGTTTTGTCTTAAAAACTATTATCACAAAATATCACAAATTTTGTCTTAAAAAATATTTTTTATTTGTGAAAACTACTATCCAGTTAACTTCAATTCAAACTTAGTTTTAATTTTAATTTTAACTTATGATAACTAAATTTGATTGAATTTAGTTACTTTTCCATTGGATATCACAAAGACACGACTCCAAATGCAAGGGGAGCATGCTTCCAATATAAAGTATTTTGCCTATAGAGGAATGTTAAAGACTGGTTATGGCATAGGTATATATCATATATATAGGTATCGCACATTTTAGTATTTATTAAAGGTATTTTGAAAATATATCGAAAAGTAAGCATAAATTTTGTTGGTCAAAATTTTGTGTTATATAAATAATCCTCTAAGTTTATTCTAAAGATGTTAAGACAGTTGTTCTAATGATATTTTACAAATATGTAATATGTTTAAGTATTACATATCATATTTTTATTTATATTTGTTTATACATATATTTTACAAATATGTAATATGTTTAAGTATTACATGTAATATGTAAAGTATTACATATCATTACAAAAAAATATATACAGATAATAAATAACATGTTTTCAACATCAACAAAAAAAAAGCAAATAATAAAAATAATAAAAATTTTATCTCAGGTTTTCACTTTTAGCTCTTTCAGCTCTTGAATGAACCTTTGTTTTGTTTACAAATCATAGTTTGAGTAAATGTTTAGGAAATTTTTAAGACTCTTTTGTATTAAAAGCCCTATCTTCCCAATTCAATCAAAAAATTTTCTACTCTGAGGTTTGTTGCTAATATAAATAATTTCAATTATTATTTTTTGGATGTAAGTGTACAACAGTTGTTGGTATATTTAGTTTTGTGTATATATATATATATATATATATATATATATATATATATATATATATATATATATATATATATATATATATATATATATATTCCAATATGAAGTAACATGGCTTTGAGGCTCCGAGATGAACTATCTATGAATAGGGGCCTTTCAATAGGATTACATTTGATACCTACAGCCTGGAATAGACCGGCAATATTGTTACAGAAACACAGCCCATCATGCTGACTGAAGAAGTTAGAGAATCTTTGATGCCACTTCCTCTGATCTGTGACTTGTACGCTATTCTCAACCAAGTCCATTGTTTGAGCCTTGATATCAGAAGTTCAGCTTCCATTTGGTAAGCCTGAGATTCCTAATTCAATTGTTCACATCTTGAGTTATCCATTGGCTCTTGCCAAATTCATGGCTTGCTTCTCTCCTCTGTACCAACCTGTAATCTAGCACATAATAATACATAAAAATTATAACTATTTGAGGACGGGAAATTTTATTATATGGAACGATTTCAAGATGGAACGTATTTGCCTATAGTACACAACTTATGACAAAACTTTAAAAATTGCAACTTCTTGAAACTAGATCTAAAGCATTGAAGATTTATGAAATAAATTAAAATGCAAGAGAAGCAACTGTTCAGTTTACCTTCAAGTGTTTTCTTGAAATACTCGCAAGTGAAATGCAGTGCCCAAGATTTTTCTTGGTCTCCAAAAGGCACGTTGAAGTATGTCTTGTTGGCCTTGCACATTATACAACTTGCTTCCACGAAATACTTTAGGTCTGCAATAACACGAATCGGAATCTTGGTATAAAAACAAGTATAAAAGCACAGACACCTTTTATACTTGTACAGCTACTTTGCAATGCTTAAGAATGTTCTAGAAAGTTCCGAGAGTTTCTCGAAAGTTCTGGAAGTTTCTTGAACATTCTAGAGTGTATAGGAGAATTGTAGAAACATCTGGACAACTCTAGCAGTTCAGGGATATTATAGGAGGAAGGTTGGTATTGGAAGCAAATCGAGAATTTTCTCGAAAACACAAGATTTTCCAAATTTCATTGTCCCAGTCACAGAAGCAAAATTTTTCAGAAATAACAGCGATTTTCTTTCTGTTTTAAACCTAATGGGTTAGGAAAACACACTTTCAACCCAGGAACAGAACAAAAGTGAAAATTTGCTTCATAGTATTATTAGAGTATAATATTATTTGGTTTATTTTGTTGAAAGTAAATGATAAACTAAATCTCTCAACTTACTTTTTATTTATTACAATAAAACTAAATGAATAATTTTTTTTTTTTTTTTTTTTTGCCTAAAATCAAGCTAACCAATCTTTCACAGGAAGACAATCGCATGTTTTTATATGACCACATTAAAAATACTTTGTTTTGACGATTTGACCACGGCTTTAGACATATTTTCAAATTTTAAAAATGCGCTACAAAAACTTACCTAAACTTATCTAGAAAAAAACTTTAAAAAAGAAAAAAAAATCTTAATGAAAGAGAAAATAAAAAACAGTTTATATATAATATAAACTTAAACAGTTTATATATTATAAATTAAAAAAGTATATGCAACTGTCAATTATATTAAAAAAAAAAAAACATTATCAGTAAATTGTTACTTTATTTAAAAGCGTTTCGCTAATATAAAAACATTTGTTAAGATGTTTTGATGTACTTAATTTCATTTTTTCAGAATATTTTTCATTTAGTGTGTTTTTAAAATGTTTTTTTAAATAGCCGCAGTCAAATTGTCATAGCAAAATGTAATTTGCCTGGTCATATAAAGACGTATGATCACACGTCTTCCTGTGAAAGACTGCCAAGTGTTGTATAAATAAATATACTGCTTCATATTTTATTAGTATTAATTTTTTTCTACAATTTTCATTAACTGGCAAACCAGATAATGAAGAAGGACAAATTAGACACACATTTTTCACAAAAGACAACAAGCAGACAAACAAAGGACAACAAAGTAGACTACAACCCATTAAAATTTCTAGAAATGTCCTTAAAAGCATAGTATTTAAAGCTATTGTGTTGAAACATATGTAAATGGTTAATGAATCACATTTTTAAGATCTCTATAGTCTTATAACTGTCTCAGCTGTTACTTTTGCTGATGTCAGCTTTATCTCCTCTGCCAGTTTAATATTGTCGTATGCAAGATATGATGTCATATCAAGTAATTGGTCCATCTTTTTTAGTGCCAACACAAATCGTGTCTGGTAACAACTGGCTGTTCCAATGTTATTTTTGTTTTCAAAACTTTAAAACTGGTCTATTAATAGACTGTTTAATATAGATTGACATTTTGTTTTTTATAACATTATTAACTTATGATTTTTTGTAAACACTTACTTTGACCACATTTAACTGATTCATCTCTACTAATCAAGCGCATTAACTGACTTTTGCATTTTTTTTTGTTTTGCATTTTTTTATAATCCTTGACATTTTAACAATTATTTACTTGGTCAGCCATTGATACATACTTTTGATGGATAGTTTACTAGGGTTAAAGCTAGCATGTTTGTTCAAATTAATTTTTACCAGTGTCTCAAGTGTGGCTGACAAACTCTATTTATTTGAATGTAAAGCTAAATTTAGCAATCTTATTTTACTATTTTTTTAGTCATTGAGGAAGGTTTAATGAGTTTATGGAGAGGATTAACACCTGCTATTTTAAGACATTTTGGTATGTTTTAATTTTATACTTACATTTTAATTGATTTTTAATACTTTGCTCTAGTTTCCTGTATTTATTATAATTTAATTTTAACAAAAGCAAAACAAACTTTTTTGTAGCTTAATGGTTTACAATTAATTATAAGTTGGTAAAATGTTTAGTTTATGTATAAAGATATGTTTAGTTATAAAAAAATTTAGGTATAAAGGTTTTTAGTGAAGGTATAAAAGCATTTGATAAAGCTGTTTATAAATTTTGACTTGAACATGAACATTTTTTCATACATATAGAAAGATGCAAAAATTTTTGTATTATATTAATAATTATATATTCGACAGCCTTTAGAACTGAGCCTAGCCAGTATCTCAAAGTATTCTCGAGGTGTTAGAGCTCATGAAAGAATCACAGCATGATAAGATATTTTTTTTAATAAAATTTTAAATTTTATGTTATAATAAGCTATAAAATAAAATATACATTTTTTTACAGAAAGTGAATAAAAATCAAAGATTGTAAAGTAAATAAAAGAAAAGTTTACACATTAAAGATCGATAAAATAAATAAAATATTAAACAATTTATATTCAAAACAAAACATACATTTTTTTGTTGTTGTTTTTTAACAAATGTGATAAAAATAAAATTATAAAACAATTATAAAAATGCTAATTATAAAAAAAGCATCTATAATTTTAAATTCATACAAATAAGTTTTGAAAAAACACTTCATAATGATTCTTTATGATTTTTTTAGTTTTTTTTTTTGTGTATATTTTTTTATTTTTATTTTTTTGTTGTAACTTTACTTTTGTGTTGTTTATTCTGTGTTTTCTTTTTTGTTGTACCTAATATTCATATTAGGTACAATAAAAAAGGTGTTATAAAATCTACATTAAATTATACAAAATATACCAAATTAGGAACCTTTTGTATTTATATTTTTTATATTTTGTGCATCTTGCATTTTGTAAACCTCGTATAGTATTGAATTTATTGCGCTAGTTTCCTTTGAAATCAGGTTAAATTTGTTAAAAAGTGTCTTAATAGCTGTTTAAATGGGAAATTTTATACTAATGAAGATAATTTTAAAAATAAGTTTCTATATAAATTTTTTTATAATTATTTTATGTAATATCTTTATTTTTCAATAAAAATATGCTTTTTTTATTAACTATTGTTTTTAAGTTTATACTGGTTGTCGTATGGGTTGCTATGAGTATCTTCGAGATAATATTATGAAGAAAAATGTGGATGGCTACTTCCCACTTTGGTAAATGTTTTTTATAATTTTACTATAATTTTACCAAAACTTGTTTGTTGTTAATATATCATTATTATTATTGTAATCATTATATACACTACTTTGGATGTAGTGGATGTAGTGTTAAGGTTTGGGTCTATTTTGGTTAGAATGCCACATGTGACTTTCTAAAAACTCTTTCAGAAAGATAGCTCAATGAGAATCTATTCATTTTTTCAGAAGAAAATGACTTGAAGCTTAAATCTAAAACATATTTTTCAAAAACTTGTTTAAGTTGTTTACTTGACTGAGTTCAAGATCAAATATTAAATAAGATTATTCAGCCTCTGCAATCACAAGATCTAAAAAGATCTCTTTAGATCTTTAGATTCCTATTGAATTTTTATGGGAGGAATTTAAAGTAATGACAAAAACTTATGCCTAATGATGCATAAGATGTGGACAAAACCTATTAGTCAGTGGCATCGAATTGATTTGGACAAATTGGATAAGTCCTTAAGTAGAATGTCAAGAATATGTATGGCGGTTATTGTTGCTAAAGATGATTAAAAGGCAAGTAAATTATAAATTAATATAATCAGACTCTATTAATTTTTTTGTAAACCTAATAAAAAAGAGGATGACATATAATTAAGGTAGACTTTGCTTACAGTTTCTCTCTCCAAATAGTAAGTAAAACCATGATATCTTATATTGAAAAGTACGACTTTTCGAATAATTATGGACAGTAGTGTATGTGTAAATATATATATATATATATATATATATATATATATATATATATATATATATATATATATATATATATATATATATATATATATATATATATATATATATATATATATATATTTCATGAGTATTTTAAATAATTTCATCAGTATTCGGAATATCCACCCCTGGCTTTCAACACCGCAGCAATGCGCTTTGGCATTGACTGAACAAGACCCACACAACACTCAACAGAAATATTATTCCATTCAGTTTCTAGCAATATAAACAGTTTTGTAGCATTCTTCGGCTTCTTTCCTTTAATTTTCTGATATAAAATTTCCCACATATAGGATTTCTGTCGGTACTGTATATATATATATATATAAATAGTATTTATATATATATAGTACCGAGAAATAAATAGTATATATATATATATAGTACGAAGAATGATTAATGAAACGGTTGCTTCCCCATTCTAAACCTTCAAAAAACGGTAGCTTAAGGTAAGCAGAAAAAGTGAGCAAATGCTTATCAAAACACGCTTTAGTAAGTGTATGTATATATACACTTACTAAAGCGTGTTTTGATAAGCATTTGCTCACTTTTTCTGCTTACCTTAAGCTATACTGTTTTTTTTCAAAAAAGAAGAAAAAACGAAGAATGATGAATGAAACAATTGTTTCCCCATCCCAAACCCTCAGTCGATGTAGCAGCACTCCACTGCGAGTCAGGCTATTTTTCAGACGATGTATGTACTGAAGCCCTCAGCAGCAGGCTATTTCAGTATTTCAGTATTAGGGCATGCCACAGTACCACACACATTTTTCGAAGAATCAATTTTTGAAAATGAATTTATTGAATAAAACTAAAACATAAAATTTTTATTAGGGTTGGAAATCCCGAGATCCTGAAATCCCAGGATAAAAAATAATCCTAAAAACCCAGGATTATTTTTAATTGTTTTTTGGTTGAACATTTTAAAATTGAAATTTGACTATATTCATATTGAAAGTTCCTGAGTTATTTTTTTTTTGAAAAAGTAGGTCACAGATTTTTACTTTAAAATCGGCGCCGTAAAAGCCAGATACGCACGTACCTATACAGTGTCTCAAAAAATTATCTGACCAAACATTTTTTTAAATATTTTTCCTAAAAAAAGTGCTGTATTTTTGTATATTTCGACTTTTTTGGTAAACTCAAGATTAATAAAAATAAAAGAACATAAAAATAAAAAATAAATCTATTTAAAAATAAAAGTTTTTAAATAGATTTAATTTATTTTAGTGTAAAGTATGAATCACAAAGTTTTCAATCTTAAAATAAAGGAACTTAGGTCGTTTTTTTATTGTCAAAAAAATATTCGACCAAACATTTTTGTTCTATAATAAGTTATTAAATAACAAAACAATTATTTTAATACTTTGTAGGCCTCCCTTTGCTTGGATTACAGCTTCTAGACGTCTAGGCATTGCTTTGACTAAAGATTTTGTTTCTTCTGGTTGAATCTTTTCCCAGGCTTCTTTAATTGCCACTTTGAGGTTATCTTTTTTGGAAAATGACCGATCTCTAATTTTTTGGTCTAAAACTTCCCACAAATGTCCAATGGGATTAAGGTCCGGTGATTGTGCGGGCCATTCCAAGACCTTAACATTTTCAGCAAACCACTCCTTGGTTTTAGTGGCACTATGCTTGGGATCGTTATCTTGCTAAAATGTAAAATTAGATCCTAGCTAAAGTTTTCGAGCAGATGACTTCAAATTTTGCTTAAAAATGTTTCTGTATTGCACCTGATTAATTATAGTATCAATAAATTGGAGTTTTTCAACACCCTTTCAAGCCATTGAAACCCATACCATCACATAACCACCACCATACTTGACATTATTTATCACGCAGCTTAATTTGTAGGTTTCTCCAGCTTTTCTCCAAACTTTTTGGGCTCGATCAGATGACTTTAAGTTGAATTTTGATTCGTCGCTCCACAGGATCTTTTTCCAGAAACTTAACGGCATGTTTTTGAACTTCTTAGCAAACTCCAATCTTCATCATGTGTTTCTTATTCAATTATGGTTTATTACGTACAAGTAGTCCTTGAAATCTCTGGCATTTGATACGATTTCTGATTGTCTGATGGGATAATTTAATTCCATAATTCTCTTCAGCTAGCTTAGCCAGTTTTCGAGCAGAAATGAAGCGTTTTTAGACAAATAATAAACCAACTGAAGCATGAATCAAAAAATATGAACACTAAATAACATACTATTCCCAATAGAACTAAAATGACAGACAAAGTAAGTATCCCTATTCATTGTTTTTAGTATAATTTAGAGCGTAAACATTTTTTTTTTGTGAAAAACTTGTTTGGTCAGATAATTTTTTGAGACACTGTATATGAAAATATCAAATTTTTTCATAAAATGCTTAGTCCAGATTTTGCTGAATTTAAGAAAAATTTAGTACTCTTAGATACTTAATACTTTTACATGAAAGTGGGTGTTAATTAATTTTTGGAAAAATTTTCCCACCTATTCTTAGCTTATTAAGACCTCTCCCCCTCTGTTTATTAAATTCACTTGTTATAAACAAAGAACTTGTTGTCTCATAACTAAAAAGTTTTCAAGTATTATTTTCCTAAAGACATAAACATGTCTTAAAAATTAGAAAATATAAACTTATTTATAAAAATAAAATAAAAGTTTTCACCTACATGTATAATAAGTCAACCCCCTCCCTCCATTTATTAGATCTGGACAAAAATTCTCACTCACTTGATAGTGAATTAACTCCCAACTTGATAGTGGGTGCTTGCAGCCTTGTTGGAAGTGAAATAGTACTTAATATATATATATACAGCCCTTGGATTTAGGGTCTTTAAGTGTTTGGGGTTGGCAAAAAGTTGTCAACCTCATTTCTATGTTTTATGGTAAGACCTTCGTTTCATATTTTTTCTGCCGATT